TGCCTGATCACATTAGCGATCACGAATCTAGTAATATATCTGGAAGTGACCACATTGATGGTGATCGGAGTAACCATCAGAAAGTTTTTCGCTCTTGAACATATGCTCTGTGAGACTTTATCACTAAAAACCAAAGTTTGGTGATAGTAGAATGCCGAAGAAACTAATTTTGCCCAAAACTACAAAAAACTGCGATTTCTGCGAATTCGTTAAGTAAAATATTTGGAAGTGACTACATTTTCTTGCAATATTTTTATAAAACTGACTGAATTTTCAGAAGAAAGAAACACCACCAAAAGTTTGCGTACGAGATATTGTTAACATTTTGCGTCAAGTAGGTGATGCTTTAAAATATCTTCACGAAAGTCGTGATTCAGTTGGTAATGAAGCAAGTCACGGCGATGTTGCTGCTCGTAATGTGCTTCTAACGGAAGCTAACCTGCAGTTATTTTTTATACTTATAAAAAATAGAGTAAAGTCATCTTGGTATACTTGCAGCGTTTATGTTAATTTCTTGAACGAAAAAGAAAAGTTTTTAATGCTCAAAACCTTCCACATTTTTGTTCTTTAATGTTGGTTGGAAAAAAAAAACCTATGCAGACGCGTTTATTAATACCAGCTACATTTAAAACCTTTATACTATTATTAACAATTTTGGTATAGCTGTACCGCAAAACTAGGCGATTTTGGACTACCTATTGATTTCGGTCCACGTTTGCCAATCCCATGGTTACCGCCTGAGATTGTGAGTAGTTTGGATCGAACACGTATAGTACATCGTCCAGAAAGTGACGTCTGGTGCGCAAACGTACTTAACCCATTTATAGTTTATCTTGCAATTCTATTCTTTACTTTCAAGAAAATAGTAAATTACAAATACCATCAGTGAAGGAAATAATGGAACGTTGCAGGATGTTTGGAGTTTTGGGATGGGAATGTGTAACTTTGGGAGCTGAACCACATTACCAGCGTACTGTTGACGAAATTCAACAGTGCTTTACATGGCCAGACCATGGATTACATCGGCCTCCTACTTGTCCTCTTGACTTGTGAGTTCCTTCTTGCATCGTATATAACTTACTTATAACTTGCATATAATTATATACGATGACACTTCTACCATAACTATATTATACTCTCTGTGAAACTGCATTGTTGAAACTTTACTTTTGACATGCCTCTCACTTTTTTTAGCATATTATGACAGTTATTGTCTCTACTTATATATACACTGTATAAAGTCAAGCAGAAACTTTGCTACTAGTGCAATATGTATACTATATAAAGTTAACGTAGATGACTCCAAACATGTTTTTAAGGATTACTGCATTTTGACCAATTTCTATATTCTTAATTTTATGAAAAATGCAAGTCGAATATTGACATCTCTCAATACTTGACGAAAAAAATGAATTTTTTAAGGTTTCAGGTGGAATTTTCTTCTTGATTGCATGTCAGAACAACATCGACGCCCACATTTTGCAGGATCAACAAAAACTATTTCTTCAGCGATTTATCGACTCCAAATATTACAGCAAATCTATGAAAAAAGTAACAGTACATTAGACATTTACTACAATGCAACAAACTGTACATGTCATCAGCACCGATGCAACGTTCCACTGCCATCATTTGCCAAATAGAAGCATCTTTTATACGTCAAAGAGAGATTAAAGAATAAATTTGGGTAGCTAATATAGTTTTATCCGTATAATGGTGCTGAATAATGAATAGTGACGAGTTAAAAGTTGAAAAGGATAATTAGCTTTTATCGATGGAAACCAATTATCATTATAAATGCACAAACTGCTTGAAAAATAAAAGTTATAAGACTTAAAAAAGTTACATCATTCGCTGATAAAGAACGGTAATTTTATAGAGCTACTGAAAATAATTAACCTAAACAATGATTCAGTAAAACTCCTGACTATTCGAGGTATAAAAACAAACGAAATTTCGTTAATCACAAAAATCAAAGACAGAAGTGAAGAAAGTACAATAATTTTATTCTAACGAATATTAGAAATATAGGCACAATATTTGGTGAATATGTACAAACTGCCAGCAATATTGAAAATTATGTTTCTTATTTGAGATTGAGTTTTCTGCACACGTACAGTCTACTTCAAACTTCGTGTGTTGAATAATTTTGTGTTCTTATTATGCATATTTTCCGTTGCGCTATATCTTTTTAGAAAAGTTGCCCGGCAAAGTAAATTTTAAGGATGGTTTATGTATAAATGCACTGAATTAAATAAAATTTTCATCTTCAATACTTTCGTTTGAGATCATTCTTGAGCTGGAATTCTTTAAATAATCCATCCCCATAAGTTGAATGCACGGGTAGAAGCCATAAGTATGGATTATTTCCGAAAATTGAGCGAAAGTTTGCTAATTTTGAGCCTAAATCATAGGTAATACCATCTGTAGGGTTCCTTCTATCACTTCCGCCACAAAGTTGAAACGATGTACTTTCAAGAGTTGTTTCATTTGACAGCAGAGAGTTTCCTAATTGGAACGAAAATATGCCCAGCGAAATACCACAAATCTGTTAAATAATTTTTTTTGTTTTTGAGAAGTGATCTTAAATTTCGCTCAAGAAGAATGAAGAAATATTAGCAAACTGAAATACTTCAATTTATTCTTGCTATTACTCACGAATGGTTAAAAGAAATATATATGTACCAAAGCATTTAATGCACCGGAAGCAACCAAGCATGTTGCAACAAGTCCATCGGTTGGTGGTGGAGGTCGTCGACTAAATCCTGGCACAAATGAAGGCACCATTCCTATAGTTCTCAGAGCAATTATTTCATTGCAATTATATAGCTATTTTAACTTAGGCATTCAAAATCGATTATAATCTGTAATCGACCAAAAACTAAAACTGAGTTATAAACACTGCATATTGAATTTTCAGCTTAGTTTTTGAACATTAACCAAAATTAAATCGTTCCGAGCAAATCAGAACAGGATACTTGAATCTATTGCAATGATAATTATAAGTAACCGGTAAAACTCCAAATGACTACTGGTGTTCGTCGAAATAAAGCTGGTGCAGTTGTTAAAACTGCGTAAAAACAAAGCACTGCTGCCCAAAAAAGAAAAAGCAAGAAGAACTTATGATTATGCATATGTATACAACGACCAATAATTGGACAGTGATGATCCATACGAATAATACAACGATTACATCTGCATTGAAAACTTAATATTTATAAAAAATTATAAGGCAGAAACTAATGTAATGAATAAAACTGTACTATTTTTCAGCAGTCTAAACTACATGAATCTTTTAGCGCAGTCAGATTATCAATTAATTTATTTATTAAAAAAAGATTCGTTCAAATATAACAAAAATTAAAACTCTGAAAATCATAATGAAAATAAAAGTCTTTATGGGCTAAATATTACTGTTGTGTACTGTATGAAAATGAACATTACCGATGATGTTGAATTAAAATATGTAAAAAACATACTATAATCAAGCAAAAACTGATATTGCTTGGTGAAGAATTCATTTCAGCTCACAGGAAACATTCCTTTATGGAAAATTCATCACTATGAAGAAAAGCAAACAATGTTTTTTAAACGCTAGTTAAATAATTATACTTGTGTAATTAGGAGCATGGAAGTAATTTGACAGTCACTTCATCACTTAGTAAATTTAATGATATATAATACTCTAAATCGGTAATCAAATGGAATAAAACTGAACTTACTTCCGACAATGATGAGTTCTATTTGGTTTGATTACTCTACAACGTACACAGAATGGTGGACATTTGATAGTTCCGTGATTTGCTGACAATGCAATATATCTAACTGGTAATTTTTTCTCCCGAGCCTAGAATATTCATTTTCATTAAAACAAAGAATATTGAAAAAAGCCCATGCTGCCATGTTCACGAGGTATTGTCCCATGAATTGATAACATTTACTTGCAGATCGCGATGGGTCTGGCTAGCAGCATTAAATTCTGATAATATCTTTTGGTTTTTCGCAACTACAACATAGAAAATGGAGAAAATTTCTATAAAATATGTTATGAGTTTATTTTAAGAAATAAAAAAATCCAAGATTTCTGTCAAAATTTATACCTTTATTTAGCACATGAAAGAAAAATACTTATAAAAGTACCAGTCTTTCTGTATTGATATCAGTGAGATAAAAATAAATGCTTCTTTTTCATGCGCAAATAAAGGCATACAGTTTATCTAAATCTTATTCATAAACAAAGAATACTTGCTTTCAAAAGACTATCTCATACACATAATGTGAAAAACTATCAGTAGAACATAGCAAACATTTAGCTGGGATTGTCAAAATGCTAGAAACATGAAAATACCCATTTGGCAATCTCTTCCGCTACGTTTGGTTTTTCGAAAATTAGGACTGGTGGTACAAAGCTTCTAGGGATATCAGCTGGTGTCGTCAAAACGGTTCCAAATAACGAAAAAACAGCCATAATCCAGATAACTTGGAATATAATAAGTTCAGCGACTAGAGTTGCAGAACCATAAGGGAAAATATGAGCACAATATGCCGCCGAGAATAAAATATACCAAAGGATGAAGGACAGAACCCATAAAAAAAGATGATAACGCATTAATAAGACGACCAGACCGACCAACAGAACAATCTTCAATTGAAATAACTGTCAAATAGATCAATAACCTGTCTAAAACCTCAATATTTCAATCTAAACTTTTTCCTGAGTGCCAGCAGTCAAATTTGAAGCCACACCTACATAAAAATATGGTCCTCTCTTAAAAAACCATTTACATCCTGAACCAAAAAACCCTTCAAGAAATCGAGCACATAACCTCTCATTCATATCCTAACAATACTCTAGAACTTTTCCAATTCAACCACTGGTATTAGTATGGTGATCTTCAAAAATATTTAAATACCAATTTAAATGATATAGATACTAGCTCCAAATCTATTAGTTAGTTTGTGGATGGAAAGCGTTCTTTTATTATTAAATCTAAATCAGCTGTATTCAATAATCTCAACTTACTTTTCAAATCTATCACGTTCATGAATAATTGAATGACTGCAGTGCCTATCTTGATCTAGCTTTAAGCAAAATGAAACTACAATTTAAGATTTTTCATTTATAATTATTCCTTTGTAAAACTGTACAACAACTGAAAGATGTAATAGCAAAATGCAAATACGAAACTGAAATCAAAATACACTTCACAACAAAATAAGAGCAAGATGAAAACCGTTTAAACCTCACCAAGGGAGTCTAATCTATTGGAATAAAAATATGAATATAAAAACATGTGAAGACAAGAAATATGTATCAAGTTACAAATCGCGATAAGAAAAGTAGTAACATATCAAAATATAATGAAAAACAAAATTGCTGATCAAGCACTGCTATTTCCATGTTGGACTAAAAATGGACTGAAATATGTTTAACGATTAATTTACTGCCTAAACATTTTTATTAACGTGAAAACTAACAAATAATAATTTGAAAATATTTAATAAATTTTACTGCTAATGCACATATTTGGAGTTCTCCAGACACAAATTTTGAAAACATGGAATTAAATATACATTCCCCAACTTATAATACAAATCAAACACAACTTCTAATTTTCAGTATTTTAAGTCATTAAACAGAAACTAGAAAAATTTTCGAAACTCGAAATTTATAATAATAAGCTTAGCTCAGGATCATTCAAATCACGAAATAAACTCCTGTATTTAAATTAGCAGCTAATTTAAAAATGAAGTAATTCAGCAAACATGATATAGAAGGGATAATGAAAGAAACTAATTAAAGTTATTCAACCATTTAAAATAGTCGGCGAAATTTTGGAATACCGAAAGATTGCATCACGCTCCCCTTCGAATCACTTATATAATCACATAAATTGTATCAGAAAAGTCAAAACATTTAACCCACAAACGGGTGTTTAGCTCATTGAAATTGAACATTAAAAAAAAGATTGGATTGAAAAAATTATACTTTGGCACAAGACAATCCACTAATACAATAAATGCAAAAACGATGAACGATACTACGTTCGAACATACTAAATCATAGCAGACAATAAAACTTTTAGGTACCACGCTACTTCTAAATCTTGAACACTATTTGAACTAGAACAAGTGGCAGCGCAAAAGGAAAATTAAAATGCTATCTTTTTCATATGATTTATGAATCAAAACACGAATCATTCATATAGCTTTCATATTGATTTTCTCCTACTTATCGTCATAGAACATTAAAACTAATAAAAGTTAATCGTTCGCGTAATTACAGCAAAGAATGTCTTTTCTGGTCCATGCTGAATTCAATATGAATAATATTTCCAGTAAATTTGAAATTTTGTAACAAAAAACGACGCTCACTCATTTCAAAGTCATGAAGTCACAATAAATAAATGAGATCATTTTGAGAAATATGCATCCTTATACAGCAGCAGATGATGCTTTGAAGAATGTATACAGAGTTACAAAGAATTTACATACCCGAAGCTAGACCAACGCTTTCAAGGAGAAGATGGAAAATTTGAAGAAATAAAAAGTTTAATTCGGTCTAAGCACATACAAAGAAGCTTTATGTAATAGGAAAAATTCCACTCATCAATTTTGGGACGAAATACCTGAGTTGTTAGAGAACGAGATTTTTCAATAAGCAATGACAATCTATCAAAAATTGCAGTCAGTTCGAATATAAGTTCCTGGAGCAGAAGAGAATATAGAGATATAAGAAATTTATTTTTTAAAAGCTGCTTTTTATTTTGAATTAAATTTCAACAAACTCAGAAAATGATATGAAACATTGCTGCTGACATTCGAGTTTAGTTTTACCGATGATGTACAAAAGATGATGATGACGATGAATATTCATTGAAAGCCATTACATCGTTAACGAAAGTTGATGGATAAGGAGATACTGAATTAATGTTTGGTTGCGATGATGAAGATAAATCAACACCTTCAGATATAAGAAACTGTTCCACATCAAGCCAATCATGACCACCAGTAACATCATTAAATTCTGATGGTAAATGCAGGAAATCATCTTTGACACCATCTAAAATTAAAAATAAGTGACAAAATTTAAATTAGTTTCGAAGTTCTTTTACCATAAGATAAAAGTATAAAAGTTTTAAAAATAACCCCAAAAACAAAAACGAATTAAATAACCTGTAAATGTCTGCTCTTGTAAACCATCCGTACTATCTCCATCTGCAACGTTGAAATTTGCCAACATATCATTAATTTCTTTACCATCCAAGCCCAATTCCAGATCCTTTGCAAAGGAAGCCAAGTATACATCAGATTCGTTGCCACTTGACGAAGATCCTACTGAAGCAAGTGAGCTTAAGTATTCAAGCTTCAAAGAGCTTTGAAGAAAATATGGTTCAAATTTACATCTGACATGATGCATATAACATCTAAAATTAAATCGCTCAAAAATAGACTTCTTAGGTGTGGAAAGCAGAGCAAAACAACTGATAGAATGTTACCAAAATGCTACTGAAAAGTAAAAAAGCAAGGAGAATTTTTCTGGAGTAATTATACTTACTATCAAATTCACCGAAATCCCCTATGCTGACGGAATTGACTCTGTCTACTCCAGCATTTTGCAACAGATGTTGCGACTGTTGCATATTCATGCGAACATCTTCGTCATATTGCAATGTACGCTGTTGTACTCGGTGCTGGCATATCGACATCTGTTGATTCCATGACTGATGAGCATTTTCTTGAGCGATTTTTTCAGCTCTTTTTCTTTCCTCATAATGCTTGATGCATAACTCTGAAAAATTTAAATGCAACATAATTACGAAACATTTATGAGTTACAAAAACCAAAATTTTTAGTCACCTAATTGTATAAATCTCTGCAAATAAAAATGACCGAATTTCTTCAAAGCATAATTTATTACATCAGCAAAAACCTCTCGAGTTTCTGAAGTTTGTGTCAAATTTTATGAACTACGGTTTTATAAGAGGAAAAATAAGTATGATTTACTTGATGTTTTAATTGCATCAACGAAAAGAACAGGTTGTGAGCAACATGGTTCGGCACAATAATTGAATAGTTGTTGATTCAAATTATAAGAAATATGTTGCATACAATGATTGCTAAATGGAAGGCACTGATTCGCGCATTGAACGGGAGGTGATGTGCCTTTCACATTTGTAAAATAGCACCTACATATAGAATAACAGAAAATCCTTTACCTTTATAACAGATTTTCGATCAGCTGTAGTTTGAGCGACTTACAAATTTAAATTGTAAGTTTGTCATTTAAATGCCATAAAATGTTCTAGATAACAGACAAAAATTGAAAAAAGGAATTTGATTTAAAAGGGAAGTGAACCTTTTAGATACATTGGATACACTCCGAACATTTCTATGTTTAGATGCACGATCGCTCAATGCTGCTCCAACACTAGCAGGATAAAGTTTGCAAGCATGCATTATTGGAGCATTAGTTACAGCTTCTTTCATTAGCGCATTTTTATCCAGTCTTTAATCACGAAGAATAAAAAAATTCTTTGTAAGAATTAAACCATGAAGTTTTAATGTAAATGACAGTCGTTAAAACATCCAGTTATTGAAAATACTTAATGATATCATATTAAAGCCATTATTATGAATAATGAAATGAATTACAGATGATTCATCTAATTCGTGCAAACTTTACATTTGGAAAATTATAATACCTTATCTGTTTTTTCACCAAATATACTTGCAGCGGTCCTTGATTTAAGTGATCAGAAACAACATTACAAGCTAACTCTGACCACCTAAGGTCCAGACACTCATTTTCCTCGTCTTCATCGTCTGATGGTTCAAGCCCTGTAAGGAGTACTATGGACATAAAAATGTTATTCTGTTTATGTCCTTTTATTTTTTACCAAGTATTTGACATTGTACTGTGGTAGATTTTTCTAAATTATTGTGCATCTTCTATTTTCTAATATTCTGCACGAGAAAACCAACCGCGAGGAAAAAGATCAGTCCGATCAAAATCCTGATCCTCTAAAACTCTGCACATTTGATCAACTACAGGTATATCCCGGTAAAATCCCGTCATTTTCAGTCGTCTGCGTTTCTGCTTCAACTTTATAACTTTTGGCTAAAAGCGAAATTTTTTAATAGATGCGTATTTTTACATAATCTTGATATTTTCAACTTGAATTTTTATTATTTTTAAATTAGGGCCTACATGTTAACTTCCTTTTCTAATCATCTCAATGACTGTTTATTGAAGAAAAGAATCCCCAGCTTTCAGCAATATTCTTTAATTATGTTCATAATTCTTTTTATATTTAAATAAAAATCCAACCTTCTGAGTCAAATCCTTTCCTTCTTGTTTTACATCTGATTTCACTCTATGATTATCTGGAATTCTGTAAAAACAAGGAACTTCCTGTTCTGAAGTCAAACTTGGTGCTGCAGATGGCAATAAGTTGCGAGTTTCCGGAATTAACAAAGAGGTTGGAAGAATGCTTTTTGCAAAACTTGTTCGTAAAATAGGACCCGGTAATGATGGTGCGACACGTTGACCTGTCGCTGGTGCCTACAAAATAAATAGTGCTGAAAGTCATTAAATGGAGATAGCAACCAAAATGCTTCGAGAATCCCTTCACTATTCTTCATCTAACTTCTTAATGATATTTATTAAACAAGAAAGCAACTATTCTCATTATCTAAATACACCTGCAAAAGTTTAGCAGCGAGTTGTGGATGCTGTTTGGTAAGATTAACAGATATTGGTTGATCTGCAATCGTTTGCGGAACAGAAATTTGTGCAACATCACGTGTTTCAACAACAACTGGTGCGACAACTTGGGCTGTGGTAAGTGGATAAGAATGGCGAATATTCTGGTGGACCTAAAAAAGAATGCCACAAACTGCTATTTAACTAAACAAAAATGCTGAATGAAGTTAATATGATTAACAAATTAAATAATGTCCAAGGTTGAGTGAAAAAGATGATTCATGCTAATAATATTAACGAATGAAAACCGCCAAGGCACATTTCATCACATCACTGAAAATATTGTAAATCTTAAATATTTACAAAAGACCAAAAAAGAGTAAATTATTTCAACTAAAATCAAATACATGAAATCATCTCCAAATTTTTAAAAAAATTAAAATCAAACTATATGACTAGTTGTTGGTTGAGCAGGACACTCATAAACTGATCGTCCTCCATCGTAAGATGATGAGATCGATACTGGAATTCCAATTTTATGAGCAGATAACTTTGGAGGACCTGGATAGGTATTTTGAATGCGAATATCCCCATCACTGCCACTTGCAACCCCATTCTTTGACGTTGGTGCCACTGTGACGGTACTTCTTCCCCCACAGAGGGTATTATTAGCTATTGGAGCTTTTGATAAATGGTACACTGTACGCTTACTGGTAACTGAATTAACACCAATCACAGCATTATTTAGGATATTACTGCGGACTATATGATCATTCCTCGCAGGAGCCTGTTCGACTGATCGAGATGTACCTTCAACAAATCTTAATAGCTTTGTTTCCTAGTTTACAAAATGCAATAAATATAAATAAAGGAAATCGAAGAATGAATTTTTACTTAAAAACAATGCAATGAAAAAATTCGGACTTATGATATCTTCCTTTTTACAAGAAAAAACCGTTCTAAAGAAATTGCCTCAGCAATTCTGTAGAATATGAGTACTCTTAAACTTTTGAGGTCAAATGAACCAGAGAGCAAGGAAATATAAGACTATGAACTGATCTCAAATCATTAAAAAAGGATCGAAATTTCTTCGAATCCGACTAAAATTACGACAAAATTTAAACATACTTAAGCTATTATAGAATAAGAAAATACATACCACGAATTTCTTTACACGTAGTCATCACTGTTTTTGATGTTGTAGCAGTTGTAGCTGACTTTCTTGGAGTTACTGACTGATTCCACGCAATACTATTAGAAGTAGTTAATTCTGTGCTTTCAACAATCACTGCACCAGTTTTAGCCTTTTTCTTCTTAGGTTCCATTAATCCGTTCATAATCAAATGGGTACTGCAGTAAATTGTTCCTTTGTCTTTCCTTATTGCATTTGTACAAAATAAATTTGTATCTTTTTTGCCTGCAAACAGAAATTCTGATAATCTACTATAAGACAGCTTTTTTTAAAGAAATGTGATGAAGATATGGTTTGCATTAAATCACATCCTATGAATTTTCACGTGAATTCGGTAAAATACTTTTTGGTTTACGACGATGTTGACATTGTATGTATGGTGCTCCAGGATCTAGAAGTATATGACGAATGCAGTACTTGTAATTTACGATGGCACGCTGCCGACACTGAAATCAAACCACACTTTAATTTATCAACTATTTATTCATAGAAGTTATCAACCTTTTGTTATTTTCATGCTATAAAAATTTCTAAAAAACACCTGTCCTTTGTCTGAATCAATTTGTTCGCAAAGATGAGATGATGTAATCGGCTTTTCTTTTCGCTTTTTAGCTACTAATGGTGAAAACACTGCAATATCTACTTCAGCTGATGAAGTTGAAGCACAAGGAGTTAAGTAAGCATTATCTGACACAGGAGTTGAAGCCACTAAATTGATCAATTCTCCTTTAACTGATGAATGCAATGGATTTTCTAAAAATATGTAATACTAAGGAAAGAGGCTAATTATTTCAAACACCGAGAAACTTAAACCTGATAAAAGACATTATGAAAAAGTAAAACTTCAAACAAAAAAAGAAAAAACTCCTTAGTTCAAGCCTTTAGCAATCTACAATTTATATATATAGATATATATATAAAGCATTTTTTTCTTTATTGTTAAGACAGACTATTAACAAAAATTGAGATCTATAATAGCAAGTCTAACAATACAAAAATTAATCAAAAACAATTTTTATATTTTGTTTTAGCGCTAAATTTATTTCGATTATGAATTTACTAACTTCTTTGTTCTGTTAAAGTTTTTAATGTGCCTTCTGGAGACTTAACGCCATTACACAAAACATTATGCGGCAATCTTGTTTGTGTTTCAAGTTGTATGGGAGAGCAAGCAGTATCACAAAATGGACTGGCGTCCACTGTCGAACTGCATACTTCATTTACTTGTTCACATAATTCTTTTTTACACTGAAAAATTAAAAATTCTTGTAAAATTAAATTCCAATAATTGTAGGATGACAATTGTAAAAATAAGAAAAAAAACCTGATTTAAAGCTTTCAAGAAAAATGTTCGATACTATCATATTATTTGCACATTTCTGTTAAGACAATAATTTTCAAAATTTGTAGAAGACTCCACCTGAAGTAATGTACTTGAAGAATCAAAAACACTGAGGTCTAGAAATTTACCGATTTCGATTTCACCAAATGATAAGCATTAAAACTTGAATACAGAGAAAAAAGAGAAAAAAATTCGAATTGCATTAAATACGAATCAGATAACTTAAGTCATTCTAAGAAATACGTATTGTAATTACAGTACAATATTGGAAAAAAAGTAAAAATAATTTTTTCATAAAAAATAAAAACTAAACTCTTGAGAAAATAAAAACTTACTGAAAGCCCAGTGCTCTCAACAGAACTGTCACAAATGACAGGTGATCCTTTGGTATTGTTGGTATTGTTAGCTGCTTCAACCGTATTAACTGAAGATGATGAACTGAATGACTGAATACCAGAAGTTGTTGACGATGTTGGTGGAATATGTGAAATTTGCGAGCTCCCTACTTCATCGTTTTCGACAGGTATAACCGAAGACGAAAGATGAGTAGAAACAGCTTCTTCTACCGCTTTAGAAAAATTTGTTGCAGCTGCTAACGTTTTCTGATCTATTTTTAGGTCCAATTTCATGCTCACACCACGAAAGCTGACACTTGCAGGCACAACTGTATAACCTACAACAAAAATCGTTTTATTTTTCCGCCTTGCGTAACGGAAATCTTATGATTGCTTTTTAATGTAGCTTTAAAATCATAAAAACAAAAATCTTGATGAAAAGTTATTGCGTCCTTGTAACAAAACCTGAAACGTGAATTGTTCACTGAATATAACAAGAAGTAAATCCAAACAACTGCAGAATTCTACAAATTTGAAGAATTTTGGGCACTTACTGCTAAAACATCAGTAATAAAAATATTTATATTTAAAAATGTTTATCCGACCTTTCTCATCCTTGTGAGCGCCATTTATAGATGCAATACGATAACCTTCTACACGGTGATCATACTGTTGTTGCTGTTGATGATGAGAATGCTGTTGCTGTGTTATCTGTTGCTGCTGATGCTGTTTACAAGAACTGTCCGAAATAATAGTTGTTTGGTCAGTCATTACCGACCAATCATATGAGTAAAAAAATTGTTAGTAAAATGCTGGAATGAGATAAAGAACAGCTAATGCTCCACCATTCTTATTATGGAATCTTTAACTATCCGTCATTCCTGAACAAGCAACTAAATAAATGAGTTGAATCGAACAAATTCTAGCATAAAAACTATGAAACTCATACAATTATCACACGACTGACCCATCAGTTTTAAAATGAATTATCAGTGAAAATTATCTTTCCTCAACTCAACATCAGTTCTTATTCGCTTCACCCAACTTTACAGCGCTGGCAGTTATTTTACAATGAAACAAACTTATTAAAAAGTACTTAATTGGAAGAGAAGTTAACTAAATAATATAAATGTACTGCATCAACACATTCTCTTATTTTTAAGCTAGTAGTTATATGATAATTATTCTTGTCAGCAAATATAGCTATGCAGAAACTACCCACACAATTCTAAAATCCCATACTATGACGTCAGTCATACTATCAAAAAATCACTTCACGAAGTTACGAAGTCAAATTAGAAAAATACTTCATGGCGATATGAAACTTTCTTCAGGCTGAAAGCTAAGAATAACACCACATTTGTACCGCAGGAACAAGAACAAAAAATGACAGCCTAAGTAGTAGGTTATGATAAAATAATATTCAGTGTTACTGAGTAATTAATAAATATGAATGCAAGTTGGAGTTTAACTAAACACTTGAACTTTAAAAAAATAACTGTACAGCAAAGAGATTAGAAATATAAGTTAAGCACAATTCTTAACTCATGATGACGAACAGTACTCTTACTAGCCTTCAAAACTTCTACACTTCTTACAGCAGATAAATTTTTCCGCTTCTGCCAGTGTCACCTTTTGCAAAATCATGCAGGTAATGTCTCCTTGTAAACTTCAAAAAATCTCAAAGCGAATATTTTATATTTGTTTCTCTTTTCAAATATTACCCATTTCTACTACGAGACTTCGTACTTCCTTATTCAACTTATTCCTGTATATTTCATCACCATCCTATGCAACCACGTCTACCACTACGGTAATGAATCACCAATTAGAGAATCGATAAATGGTACTTCCAAATCAAGCATTTTTGGCTATTAGCCAACAGCATTATTTCCTCAGCTACCGTACTTTTTTAGGGGCGATGAAATGCCACAATTACAGCTTCATTGCATTCGTTGGAAACTTTTCACGTCAGACGGACGTTTACGTGTCTTTGTTGAGATCTTAATTCTTCACTTAACCACTTACTGCTGCTCTGTATAGGAGCATTATAATTCATGAAGCAACATTACTTTCAACAGTTTTAAGAATCTGTAATAGGAATTGTTAACTGAACAATGACACAAATATGAAATAAAACTTGGAAAATAATGCTTCACATGAACTAGTAAATCCTTCTTACCTCATATTTTCAATTCTGCACATTCACTTTATTACGCGTAGTTTTTAGCAAAGTATTTAAACGATTGAGAAAATGATAAGACATAATCATACGTTCAATAATTTGTAAATTATTTAATAATAAAACTAATCAATAATACACTAAATAGTATAAATCAGTTTTTGTTAATCTTGATGGCTTTCCTAAAATTTTTTATTCTTATTTATAGGAATTTTGACTCTTGTGTAAATGACAGTCTATTCTGTTTCTTCAATAACACCAAATTTCTACTGATTTCCGTTCCTATCTCTAATGTGAATTAGGAGTAGAAAAAAATGAAATAATAAGTGCGAAATGATATTTTAATAAAGTGAACTGATTTGAGCAATTATTTTAAAAATGTTTTAGTTGCACGGGGAGTAAAAATGATTAATAAATAGGAGTAGAATGAAAAATAAAACTTTTAATTTCTTTGAGAAACAAATTTCTTTAGGCTATTTTTGTGATGTGAATGAGTCAAGCATAAGAGATCAGTTTGCTAAGATAAGGGTTATGCATAGAATAACCCCTGCTGAGGTCAAACGCTCAGGGTAATTTTCTTTCATTCTCACGGCTATAAGCCCCATCACGGCCTTGCCGCCATCTCATTTCAAGTCATTTACCCATAGTGATATTCAATTCAACATTTACTCTGATCTTTAATCTTGCAAATAGTTTGCACATGAAATTAAATTCCACGTTAGATGATGACATCGCCAGCAATTAAACTGTCCGCAATAGTTTTTAGATATTTAGACGCTAATTAAAATCGATAAACAAAAGTATGTGAGGAAAATGTATGATTTTCATTTACTGCAATATTATACTTAGCTGGAAAGACCTCATTAGATAGTTTAAAAAAATTTATATATGAAATATGACGACTTGTAGTGCTTTATGTTCACATATCAACAAGGAATGTATGAATGGAATATTTTGATGTGATTTTTATTGTGGTAATTATTTAAATTATTAGCACTTTTATATCTTTAATTGCATTTACTCTATCGGATGAATGTGTGTTGTATGGCAGATATTGATTTTTCTCGTGAAGTGCGATTATGAAATGGATACAAATGTAGAAAAATAGCCTATTTTTATACAAAGGAGAGCAATCGATTAGCTACTGCAATTAATTAAGCACTTACGTAACGTAAAGCAAACAAGACAAAAGAAACGTGTACAAGTGACGTATTTAACGTGAAGGAAAGAAAAATTGTAAAAAACTACGGAAAAATTGGAGAGAAATGGTTTGCAGCGTTGACAACAGGACAGGTCACAACAGCGATATGACAAGAATGCCTGCGCATTGGGCGGGGCTTTTCAATAGGTGAATTAAATTGTGGGTTCTCAGAGCGTTTGCTTGTGTTTCGTATCATTGCTCCGTCAATTATATTTCAATGAGTGGTGTTTGAAGGGTTCAAAGGTATGCGGGACGTGTCTGCGTGACGTTTCAAATATTGGTATGAGATTTGTAATGCATAGGGGAACAACTGTTAACTTTTAAAATTTGATAAACTAAATATACTAATTTGGGTTGTAATTTGTAAATTATAGAGTTCAAAGTTCAATTAAAGATTGATAAAGAATAATTTTGTATGTTTAAAATTGCAGGGAAATAGCAAATATTATTGAGCAAAGCGAAAGGTGCAAAAATCTATATGAAACATTGCTACTGTAATTGCATTTATTAACTCGTTGAATGACCGCATCATGATTTTGAATACTAAACACTACAGCAATTAAATGTATTAAATGGCACACTAGCTAACTAAGCAAGTATGAATGTGCTCAGTAATCTCAAATTTATATTTTAAACAGTTAACAAAATTTGTAGTTACTGCAAACGAAAAAGTGGTATTATTGTTAATTTTTGTTGTTAGTTATCGTTGTTATTGTTGTTGTTGGCGTATTTATGCAATGTTTTCACTTTTGTGTTTGTTTTTCAGACATTCACTTGTTATTTTTATAAACACTCCTGCACTGTTGTTCAGTACTAAGTTAAATTACTTAGAAGAAGTAAATATAAGTGATAAGTAAGTGTTGTAAACAGACGTTAAAGTCGACTAATTATTTATTTGTCGTCTCTTTTTTTCTACTTTTTTATGCAGGAAAAAAAGTTGCACAATTTTAGAACAATGTATAGTATTGTAGTTGAAAGGAATTTGCATAATTTATAAAATGTAAAAAGAGAAAAAAGATGCATAAAATGAAAGCTTTTAAATTTTTTGAAAAATAATGCATAAATTGAGTAATAATAGAAGAACTATCTCAAGATGAAACTTAAGAATACGAAAAAGTATTGTATTACTTAAAAATAGCAAAGCAATAATGTAAAATCAAGTTTTAAAATTTTGTGCAATTAGTAATGCATGCATTATGCATACATATATTGTATACATATGGCAAAGAAAATTGAAGGAAATGAAGTTATTGAAGGAAATGTGTGGGAGATACTGAACGAAAGTAAATTTAGTATTCAGAGGCGAATTAAACGTGGACTGAAGATTAATTATTAAGGTAAGACTGCTGGGAAAAGCATTATTCACGCATGCAGCGTTTATCGTTTTTCAATTTCAATTTCACATGTTATATTTATCCATGCTGCTCTTACATATTCTGATAAATATGACTTTGTGAACGAATAGGCGTGAGTGGATTACTGAATCAATCATATAATTCAGCATTCTTTTATCTTATCACCATTAAACTATGAGTTTTACATTTTTTAACTTTAACACTATCTTTGTCAGTGTTATCATGCATTTCACATCAACTCTTCTATTTTTTTAAGTGACCAAAGAAAGTATCTATATGAGTGGGATTTGATGTCAAGTTATCATGAATACCATAAACTTCTTATTTAATTTTTGTTGTTATAAACATAATTACTTAAATAGTGTATGCACATTTTAAATTTTGTTACCGACAGTATAAGCATTTTACATTTCATGCTTATAACTGTATTTTTGTAGATAAGTTATGAGTAACATGAATGATACTAAAGATAGAAATAAAAATGTTAGTGCAAATATTAGAAGTGAACATGATTAAACTACTCAACATTGAGGTGATAGCGGGCGGTGGATTTTGCCTGATCTTTGAATTTATATATTGAATTACTAAATAACGTGATTAATTATAATTGTAAAATAACATATTATGGTATCAAAATGAATAAAACTAATTTAAGTCATACAAGTTTGCTCTTTCTAGAATTTATTCACTGCTTCTAATCGAATTTAATACGAAGAGTTTTGATAAAAGAATACTTGAAATTTTCTAATCAATAATGTATCTTAATTTAGTTTTGAGTAATTCCATATAGAACTTCTCAGAATACTTGACCTAGTCCTGTGATTGAAATTTAACTAGAATCAAATCTGAATTGACTTAAATGATGTTTAGATTGACGAATTAATTCTTTGCAAATAAATCAAAAAGCGATAATAATTGCAGATATAATGTGAATAAATTAAATTTAAAAGAATTAAAAATATTTTAAAAATAGAAAACAAATTATGCAGTAATAAAAAAGATTAAATAGATTATACCGTTGTAGAGAGCTCTC